CTATAAAATAGCCATCATCCTCCAAAGCAGCTTCATGGAGAACTTCATAAATATCTGCAGAAATAAGTTTACAAGCACAGCTGCAATTAACGTATCAGATGCTCCTCTAGCAGCATTTCCAAGCATTATCATTGCAGCTAAAATACATAAAGAATATATGCGTTACCTGAATTATAAATTTAGGGTGTAAGTTTTCTCGATAAGAATTAATCCTTTAATACCATTGCTTCTAACTTTTAATTCACAAAGAAATAGTTTTTCTCAAATACAATTTCCAGAGAATCAGAGACCTATATTAAATGAATATAATTACACAATGACTTACTGATGATTAAGATATAGCCTGTGGATTAGAAAACTCTAATTATATTTAAATCAATTTGCTAAGAATCGACACAACTGTGAATTTAGTAACGTTTTAGACATTCTCATTTACTAATCCATCCCTCCCATTTCTTACTTTAAAATAAATAGCTCTCTAAATTTCAATTATTGTCTAATTCCTAGGCATAAGAAGAGTATCATTAAATTACAGAGTTATCAGACCGTTATTAGTAATTTTTATTAGTTATACTCTTATAGATTTACTAGTGTTCATTTTTTCAAGCTAAGAATAAAAGCTATCTGACTTAATATATCCATTTTAATTTAGTGTAGTCAAATCAGCTACTTGATTATTGGTATCTTTGAAGATTAAGTCTATGTCAAGGATCTTAACTTTAATAGTAAACTCATACAGAGAACCTAATAATTGTAAATCTTTGATTTTAAAATCTATTTCATATATCCCTAAATCTTTCTTTTCTGGTTTAATGAGCATCACATCTGAGTTTAAACTTAAGAATGCTAGGGATCTCCCAATATAGACACTTTTTGTGTAGTTATTATAAAACTAATTCCTTATAGACTAAGAAATAAAAATATTCTATTCAAATATCTGTGTGGTATACACAATAATCTCTTTCTTTAGGCTAAAATAATCTGAAAATTAAAACTGATTATCATCGATTGCATACTTAAATTTTTTTGGTATCACTTCAAATTTTATAACACCAAGTGAATAAAAATTACTCTAGGGTATGATGCAAAGTACATTAATAGTCCACAAACCAATATGATTTATACTCGAGGGGAATACTATAAATTCCTGAGATTGATTATTGTATTATGCAAAATCGATGTCAGCCAGTGAATATTAGTATTGTAGCTAGTCAAATTAAGTGCATTCTTAATACATCAATTTCCAATTATTATTTATTTCTTTATGCTCAAATAGCTAGATCTATAAAGTCTGCTAAAAATTGTCTGGAGGAACACAGTAGTTTTATAAACAGCTATTGACAACAGTAAGTAGAAACGAGCTTTAAAGTTTTATCTCCATTTTTAATTTAGTAGAATTATAAACCTAAGCAATGACAGTCACGTTATAAATTCCTGCTTGTGAAGGTATATTATTTGATCTTAGGGTATTATTCACTTATTTAACATAAGTTAGATTGTTTGGGATGACAATTGAATTTTCTATTCTTTGAACCTTAAAATCATAAGTGAAGTTGCAATTTATATTCAAATCTACTTTTTACCAATTTAGATTTTACAAAGTATAATTATCTCCCATTGATGAATCATAGTCTACATTGAATAATTTTTTACCATCAATATTTATCAATTCGCACTAATCTTACTCAAGATTTATTTAGTAAAAATACTATTAGCTTTGCCAAGATTAATAAATATTTCCTTTAATTTGCACCAAGAGCTACTTATTGGCGTATTACTTATCAGTCAATAAAATCTTAAATTGCTAAGCACTATAATCAACAGTAAATATAATAGCATCAACTAAATCTACTATGTTCTAGTTACTTTCAATTGTTACTACTGTATCTACTATTGCATCAGGACAATCACTTAAAAAACTGGCAAAAATATAAATTTATTCTAATCCAATCAAATTATTGGCAGTTACATTCGGCTAAGGAAATATTTTGTAATAGTTTAAAGAGCTACAGTTCGTTTAAATTAAATTGGTTGTCATATTTATTGGAGGGGGAAGTGTAGGACTATTAAATATATAAGTGCCGAGAGTATTAGCGTTAAAGCCTGATTATCAAAATTCAAAAGCTGTAGATACAGTCATCAAATCTACAGAAAATTATACAACACTTCCTCGACATCTGTATTTATCTTCTGAAGTAGTAATAAAGCTTACATTCTTTTAAAAATTTAAATCTAGGCCTTGATCAGATGAATTTGTATGTCCAGCTATAATCACCCCATATTTAGAAGAAATTCCTGCTGAAGTTACAAAAGATTTGCTTTATGAAGAAATTTCAAAGTACATTTAGGTTCCTTCATTTGTCTAGATATTTATCTTCAGATGATAGCAATAATTATCACTCGAGACTAAAGTAATATACACAAAATCTTCTGATCCCTGAATTTATATTATCTCTTTTATATTTGAGAGCTATATGGCTTTAAATATGGGGTCTCTAGTTACTTCGTAATTTTCTTAATAGCCAACTTCAATTAGGAATATTATATATTTTGGTTCTAGGGTTTATAAATCAGAACATATTATTCCATATATTGAGTCAATTTTCCAAGTTCCCTTTTAAGTAACATACATATGAGTAATCAATGCCTAATTTGAAGATGCAGTAGTTGTTAATAAAAGATAGTCGAATTGAAGTACTCCGACTGTGTTAAAAATTGAAATAGAAGATTGAAGTTATTAAGTATCATAATCATCTTGCAAACCAGCAACATAAAAGCCTTTACCATCAGTGCATTAGGCAAGTAATCTAGCTTAGCCTGGATTTACTGATAATACATTTATCTAGTTGCCAGTATCTTATTTTATTATAGTAAGCATAAACTTATTATCATCTGTTTACAAAGCGATTCCTAGATAATCTATCCCATCAGAAAATTTACCATAATAAACATCTCGAATAAGAGTAACAGAGTTTATGATTAGAGAAGAATCTTGTATTGAAGTTACACTTCCATCAACTACTCAAATTTAGATTATTGTATGTGGGAACTTCTCACTTATTGCAATTACTTTTTTTTTTCCTTTTGAAAAAATGACTTTATCCAACTAAACTGAATGTAAACTGAAGACATATGCCCATCTATAAATATTTCCCTCATCAATATATGCTATGAAGGGATAACCACTTGATGAAGTCCCTATTGCAATATCTGAGTCATAGTTAATTCCTGCTATAACTATTTATTAAGTTGCGTCATCAACACTCATTGCTTTAATTAGAATCTAGTTATTAAAGCCTCCAAGATACATAGGAAATGCATGTTACAAGCATTCGCTGCAATTTACCATTAGGTATTAGTTGTTCATTAATAGAATAAGCGTCGTAAAGACTAGCAAGTAATATTTCTACAGAAACGCTTAGTTTAATAATCGGAAAAGATTAAATGTAGACATCATTAAATCCTTTAAAATTGATTTAATAAAGAATTTATATTTAAATAGATTAGAATTATGATAAAATTCAAGCTAAAATATATATAGAATTAGATGCTAATAATATGCTTTTCAAAATGTGACTTATTTACAATTGAGGGGTTTTGGGGTTTTGGGG